AGCAAAAAGCCTAGAGCACTGAGCATATTCTTTTGGCCTGGTTTCAAGTTGCTCTTTTAAAAATTTATCTCTAGTAAAAAAAAAAAATAAATCCAGATGTGGAGTTGATCTTATCCTGTTACAAAAATTCTCTCATTGGTAGAGAGAACTTGGAGAGACATCAGCACCTCCATTGCAAGGTTAGAGAATGAATACCTTGCAGTTCATTCTTAGAATATATTTGGAGAAAAAGAAGGTAGTTCAGCACTCCAAGCAAACTTGCTAGAAGAAACTTTGCTAGAAAAGCTGCTCTGGCAGCTACTTTTCTATTATGGTCATGAGACAGTTGTTCCTTTGGGTATTGCACTGCAAGAGACAGGATCATGTACTAGAAGAAGACTTCAAAGCCTTGAAATACCATTTTTTGAAGTCCATTTTCCACTTTTTCAAAATGAGATTGGAGTATTTTAAGATCTTCCTGTACTGAAAATGCTTCTCTCTCTTTTGATTTTGGCACACATGTAAGCAAAATAACACAAATGCATTCTCCACAGTACCTTCTAAAGATGTAAGATGTAAGCTTCTTGGAGCTTGTGCCTCTCCTGTCCCTTCCCAGGGACCTAAGGAATGTGAGAACTTGAGAACTGGAAATGTCGCTGAAGAAATGGATTGTTTATATTTTTAACAAACGACTCCAGCCTAAACTTGCAGAGCCCTGTGGATAGTAATACATACCAGTACTAAAACTAAGCCTCCATCATTGAGAGTTGATGACAGCAGGCCTCACTGCAACCACAAATGCAAGATGAGGTGTTCAGTAACATGCATTTTGAAATGTATGCTCCATCCTGACTGCCATATTCAGGCCGTATGGACAGCACATGTAATACTCATTGAAAAACATTTGTAATTTATTGGACCCTGCTATTCTAGCTTTCGGTCCATGCGAAGACCAGCAAAAATATTTACAGAACCTAGTATTCACCCCAGCCCTATCTACCAACTACAATTCAGCATAAATCCTCATTAACACATTCTACTGTTGCAATTTTGCTGGCCAGCAGTGATTCATTTAAAAATTACTATCAGCTTTCCTTTTCTGAGTCCTAATCTTAATTCCAGCTCCATGCTGATCGCCTTTCACTGAACGTCTGTGTAGCACTGCACCAAGATTCCTGCCACATTTCTCATGTGCTGCTTTATTCTTGGGAACAAATTTGTTATCTTAAACAAAGTAAAAAAAAAAAAAAAATGGCACAAATAATCTGGAAAGAACAGACATATTTTTGTTTAAAGATTAAAACCTTGGCTATCTTGCAAGTACTCTAGAGTGTGCTGAATGTATTTTGCAAGTGCAACATCAGAAAAACATTGTATGTTTTGTTGTATGCATCCTTGGTGAAATCCGCCAGTCAGAAATAAGGGGAGACTTGCGCTTTCCACTTGTAAAAGGAAGGAATTACTTGTTTTTCTAGTGCCTGTAAGTTCAGGATTTGATGGACGCATTTCACAAGAAAAGGAAGTTGTTTTAAACATCTTGTTTCATCTAGCTGAGTTAAACTTTTTTAAAGAACAAAACAAAACAAGTAGGGAGTCCCAAGTAAAACAAGAAAAGGCAACATTCCAGATACAGATTAAATACTGTGCCTTGGGACCATCTCCAGCCTTTCAGCCCAACACTGTTCTTCTCTTGACAACAACAGCCAATTATAAAAATTGGCTCCATTCCTTTGTCATCGGTAATCATGAAGAGGGGTCATTTGGTCTGTAAGATATGTATGTTGTGAGTAAAAATAAATACCACCTTTATAGCTTCATCTTCTGTTACGGACTGGATTTTGGCCTGAAAGAAACAAAAAGTGGCTTTGTTTCCTTCACTTACCCAGAAGCCATAGGAGGGCTAGACTCTGCACATGCAGAGCACATGGAGGAACAATAGCAAGACCATGTCCTACAGAAGCAAATTACCATTTGCTCTGTTTAGCTCCAAAGTGAAGACACATCACCCCACATCCCTTTTAAGGATGCACAAGTGGTAGAGCTGAAGAACAGTGGGCCACTGCCAGCAGGAACATCTGGGAGTTATAGAGACTGAATGGCTAATGTTTAGAGTCACTAATGGTTGTTCCTTCTCATAGCATAAACATTGTTCTGTAAACATATTTGTCTCTTTGGCAAGAATTAATTGTCTAGCAATAGCCCTATTTTTCTCATTCCCATCTTCCTTCCTTATTAGTACAATAGTTTTCATATAGAAAAGACAAAGATGAATACAGATTTCCCAGCATTGCAGTCAGTTTGCCCTTATGCTTTGATAAACAATCCTAAGTGTTTTCTCTGTTTCTCCTTGAGGTGATATACCTCTTTTCAGCTTTCAGCTGACATTTCTGACTGGAATATGGCTTGCTGAGCTCAACATTTTTACTTCCTTGCGTGTTGCGAAGTCTTGACATCCATTAGACACGAATCTAAATTACCAGGCACCAAATAAATCTGTCTGATGGAGAAACTGTTCACCTCAGAGCAAAAAAAAAAAAAAAAAAAAAGTCATACACGCATTATAACTGAAATAAAGAAGTGTTTTCTGAAGGAGAGAATTGCCCTACTGTTTGTTCCTGCTTTGGCATTCCCTTTGTACATTCATGGTTGCAAAGCCACTAAAATAGCTCATGCAGTATTCCTGGTTAATGAACCACCAGGCTAATACAAAATCATCCAGACATATGAAAAACCACTAGGAAAGCATAATCCTGAGACTCTTAAAAGAAACATCTCACCTCTTCTCTGGTTGTTATGAAGACTTTTTTTCACTTTTCTGTTTCTGTCTCTCTTCCCCGCTGTTTTTCTTCTTCCCCCAAAATAACATTCATCGTTAGTTCTGATGCACATGACCACCTATGAAACCCACTTTTGGTGCATGTGAAAATCATCCTTTGTGCCACAAGACCCATTTTGTAAATAAATTAAGGAAGAAGCTTACTGCATTCCATTAGACAGTTTTTCAGACCACAGGAAAAGATGGTCCTCTGTCAACTGAAAAGAATATGGTCAGGGTTTACGTGCCCCCATGTAGGAGAGCTCAGTGAGCTGGGTGGCCACACAAGCCAGGAGGCCCTGCAAATCCAGCAGAGGAAGCAACAAAGGGCTCAACTCTATTCCATCCACCTGGCAGACCACCAAGGAGCCTGTCACATTGGAAGAACAGCCAGGAAGGAGCACAAGTAATGACCTCATTGATACTACATATTCCAGCAAAGTGTTTTCATTTGGGAGAATCAGCATTTTCTAACAGAAAAGCAGTCAGCTGGAACCTCTCCAAACAGCTCCAGCACTCAGTTTAGTCATTCATGTTTTTATTCCCATCTTCCAGGTAATTAGCTACTGCTAAGACAACGTGTGACTCTTGTTCTGCAGGTAGCATCTCTTTGTGAAGCATGCACAAGCCACACATCACGAGATCTCTGTCAACATCCAACGTAGACTGTTTGCAACCATCTCCTGTCACTTAAAACACAGCCTCCTAATCCAGCCTTTAGATATGGCTTTGTTTCTTGTAAAAGATTATCACGTTTTTCTCACCTTTTATTTTTAACTGATAAACATTTTACGAGTGACAGAACACTAAATAATTTTGCTTATCTGATTTTTATCTGTACCTCATCTTCTAAACACAATTTGAGCCAGGGTAAAATTAGAAGGAGATGTACTAAGTCCTTGGCACTTCAAATCTCTAGTTTGGCTCAGCTGACAGCCCTAACTGGAAACATTTATACAGCCATGTAAATGTTCATGGTATTATTTAACCAAATAAAGTATAAGGCCTGAGCCTTACAAAATCTCGTGCGTATACAAGGTCCTTAATCGTAGGCTTTTCAGTGGTAAATGCTTTAAGTCCTAATTGTGTTGCGGTCTGAGCTATAACTAAATCTTATAAGGACACATCAAATGCCACAGAAGCTCAGAGTAATGCCTGATGTAGCTCAGCTGTATGTGCCCAAAAGAAGATAGGTAGGGAAAGTTAAGAAATCAAACTATTTTTCGCTCTGTTCCTCTCACAGTCCTTCAGCATTCACAATTGTAGTTGGCATGTTGGAGGGTCTTCATCCTTTTCTGCACCTACATGTGGACGCAATGCCCATGAAATTACCAAATCCCCTTCTGAACCTTTTTGGTGACTTCCCCATCTCTGCAGTTTTCTGTTGAAGCAAGTTTTAGAAATCCGCTACCTGCTGGCTGAAGACTGGTTTCCAGTCTAATTTTCACTTCACTTCCATCTGATTTTGTGAAGCCTGAACACACCATCTCTCTGCCTTCTTCTCTTCAGGGGATTCAAGAGTCTTAGCCATTCTCTTTTTGCAATGCAAATGTTTTATTCCTTTAATCACTGTAATCTCCCTTCTTTGCACTTTCTCCTCACTCCAGCTCATTAGTAAGTTTATAGATCTATTGTCCATCAAAAACAGTATGCCAGCCAACAGGAGTGAACACCAGGTGCCATCTGCCCAGGAAACAAAATAAGAAAGAAGACTTATCTTTCCTATATTCTCTGAATGTGACATTCCCAAAGGAATTACAATTAAGCAGCAAGCAGGAATTGCTTAGTAGTGCTGTGTGTGGTTTGTTTTTGTTTTTGTTTTTTTGTTTTTTTCCTAATATCTCAGGTACTTGCAATATTTTTCAAGGGCAACCACTTTTAGTTACTGACAATGTAGGTAGGAAAAAATAAAAGGATAAAGAAAACATGAGGATGGAAATGCTTTGGAATTTCACAAAGTGTGTGCCTAGAAAATGGAGGAGGTCTTGTAAGGCCATGGAAGATGCTATTATGGTAGATAAGGAACAGTGGAAAAGCAGCTTGATTTATCTAGGAAACCAACCATGTGATGGCTGAGCAGAGGGTAACTGCAGCACAGTAAACAGCACAAATGGGTTTCTGTCTCCAGAGAGGCTCTCACCTGAAAATGGTTTCACAGAAAAGAGCAGTCACAGCTCTCTCTCTATAATCATTATAAGCTCCTGAAAGCATAAAATGCTGTTATCATACCAAGAATATTCCAGTCCAAACTGCACTTTGTCGTAATTACAGATAATTTTACGTGCATCTGAGCCTGCTTTCAGAAAGTTTGTTAAAAAAATACTGTTGCTATTCCAAAGCAGAAACTGTATCTAGCAGACAGCTAAATGTGTAATAAGTACAATGATGGCTGGAAAAATACTCAAAGGCTGCATGTATCTTCCAGAAAGAGACGTCCCTGATGATGTGAACTGTTAATTAATGGCAAGAAAATGCGAGACAAGGGGCAGAGGATCACTGCTACTCCACTAAGATATAAGAGCTTGGTCATGCAAAAGACAACGAAGAATTAAGTATCCGTATGTCTGACTTAAACATCATGCAGTCCTAACTAAACTGATCTAAAAACCTCATCACATGCTCTGCACATGCATTATCTCCATCTCACACAGGTGTTCTTCTGCAGTGTTCAGACCATACAACTTGATCACTTTTCTTCAGCAGCAACCCAGAATTATGATTCTAGCTATTAAGCAAAAGTTAATCACTGTCCTCTATGAAGGTAAATTGTATACATCCCAAGAAATCTGATACATACAAAATAAACAAACAGGACAAGAACTACACCAGGCAACGAGCAGCTTGCAACCTGTTAACAGTGTTAATAGATCTGATTCTTACAATTCTGCCACATCAATGTGATATAGCACCTCTTCGTAAATAAATGATACTGAAACACAAACAGAAATGACACAGTCCACAAAATGGGAGAACTGATGACTAGCACTTGAGTAGTCCAACATGTTCAAATATATATAGAGAGAGGTTAAAGCCAGAAGCAATAGTAGAACTGAACAAAGTCCAACATATTTTTCTGCTGATGGGCCATAGACTGTGATTTAGGAGTTGAGCAGACAAGTTCTGATCTCTGGCCGCGTGAGTCTGTCATCAGATTCTTTAAGGTACAGCAGGATATTGTGGATGCACAGGGAAATAGAGGTCTGCTGTTAGATCTCCATGTTCTGTTTTTTTTTTTTTTTTTTTTTTCCAGTTTCCAAAATAGTGCTGTGTCCACAAGGAAGAAAAAAATGGGGATTTAGTGAAATAAGCTGGTGGATTTCCCAGTCACTACTGTTATAAAAAAAGCCTATCAGAAGACAGAGCTGGGGCTAGTAATGCAAATGCACAAAGAAAACAAAGGTAGCTTAGTTGTTACGGGCTCTAACAAAATAACCTTTTTATTTCAGTTCCACATTTCCTAGTTTTAATAAATGCAAATAAAATGATACGAGGCAGACAGGAGATTCAGTAGGAACTTATTCAAAGCAGTAAGGCTGTATAATGGATACAGGACAGCTGTGCAATACTTCCAAAAATGCAGCAGCTACAGCTCAGAAGAAACAGGCTACCAAGATATATTCATTCTCTGTTTCTATCTGCTCTCTGAAATAGGTAAGATACAATACAGATACATTCTGTGCACACAGTTAAACCAGCAGACAAAAGCACCTCTCTCTTCCCTGCTCAGGAAAGTGCACTGCAGATGTCCCTCACTGGTTTCTCCAAGCACGCACCACATTATGAACCAAGGAGATGGCATTCATCCTTGTCCCATTTGCTACTCCCCTCACATGCACACACAATCTGACTTTCTCTTTCAGTTCCAAGAGTAGAGATGTCATTTTTTGTGTGTGCATCAAGGTAATACTCTCATTTACACTGCTCACATGGCCCGTGCAGCTGAAGTTAATCGTAAGGCACATAATTCCACAAATTCAGTCCAGCAAAGATGGACATCAGCCAGGCAATGAACAGCCAGCACAGATGCTGAGGGTCTTCTCCACTGAGCACCAGCATTGCTCCAACTTTGGAGTAGCTGCAGAAATGTGAGGTTTCAAACTCAAGCATCTTCTGTGACGTTTTGTTGCCTGATCTTCTCCATTGCAGTAAACACAGTGCCTTGTATAAACCCAGAGCTGCTTTTGAGTGAGTGATGGAAAGAATGACAAAACAGCAGTTGTTTGAACTGGGTATGTCAGAATTGGCCCTTAAATGAATGATGCTGAAAGTCTTGGCAGCTTCCAATGGCTATACTTTTTTTTATAACTTTAAGTGCTTGCACATTTGTTAGTAATTAGTAAGTAATCTGCACAATTGCTCTCCTTGCTTGGCTTCTAGACGTGCATGATTTTTTTAAATTGAATCCCTTGTTAGAACTAACAGCTACTTTTACTCCTGCAGTGAGTGCACTGCACTCCTCAGAGGCTTGTCCACACATGTGAAATTAATCTCTCATAGCTGCTTACTGTATGCAGATTACAGCATCTCTACTTGTCTGCACTAAACGTGCTGTATGATTTATACAGCAAGAGAATAATAATTCTATAATAATTCCATAATAAACGGAGGACATTGTACTCATTCATTCAGTACCCAAAGGAAATGGATGACAGTTGATACAGTTGGTATTAGCTGTGCATTGGATGTTGGTATAGAACATGGCAGGGAGTGATTTCCTCAGTGTAGTTTTTGTTCTTTTAATTTCTTCTTGTAATTCACCTGCTGTGTTTGAATATATCCCAAAGAGTTGAGCCATCTTGGCCCCTTACTTCTTTCTAAGTTCCAGTCTTGCCAGGAATGTTGTCTCAGTCTTCAAATAACAGTTTGGGTTGGAGAGCTACCAAAAAGCCAAACTTACTTGAAGCAAAGAGATTAAATAAACAACTTGATTTATAATTAAAAAATAAGAAATCTGCAGCAACTAAACACCAGTTTTATGTTAACTATACAATAAGCTTACTATTTCAGAACCTGAACTGTAGAACACCACACCTGAGAGGAACACATACCACAGAATGTAGAGAAGAAGCCTATTACAAAGTATGGATTAAGAAGCTGCTACACAATTTCACTTTTAAAAGATTCTGGTAGTGGGAAAGGTCAAAGGATGAGGTGAAATCACAGCTAACATCACAGCACAGGCACCTGATGTGTGGCAGCTGCTCCTCTCCAAACAGCAGCCAGGAAGGGGACACTGATCAGCCAGTTTGCACCAAGAGATCAAAAAAAGCATCCATAGATAGTCATGGGAAACCTTTAGACCCCTTCTGTGCAAGTGGGGGGACCTAAGCTTAACCTTAATTCAGGTTTCTTGCTCTCATTTATCAGTGACACTGCAATTCAGTCTTTGGGGAGCTCCTACCTGAGCCAACCACCACCAATGTTAGTACAGCTTGTCAAAACACAGTCAAATTACGTGCAGCCTTTTAGGCTTCTGAGCACAACCTATTGAAGTGTGCAGTCCTGTGCTGCTGTTTGCCAACACCATAAACAACACAGAGTTTGTGTGGCTTAGTGCACAGTTACCCGTCACATGTGACTTCTATGGCAGTGATGCACCGAGGAGGTCTAATGCTGGAGCAACAGCAGAGCACTGCTTCACTGATTTCTGGGGAGCTTTACCTGCTTAATTTACCTTTAAATGCAAGAAATGACTTGACACAATTTAAAAGTTTGGATCCTTAATTTCCACACAGGATGACTCACCTGGAGTCAGCTCTGAGCCGCTTTCTTCTGAAGACCTGTCTGAGTGCTGAACAAATAACTGATGAGAAAAGCGTTCCAGGAGAACAATGCACCTGCTTCCAACTACTGCACTTCAGCTGCAGGTTTAAAGCACTGTTTTGCAATGCTTAGCATTAAGTGAGTGACTAATGTGCTAAGCTACTCACCTGTGACTCTTTCCCAGGCTGAGGCACTCTGCACTCCCTGTCCAGGCCCAGCCACAGCCTCACCTCTTTGCTATGCTCTCACCTCTTCACTGTGCTCCTGAACCAATCAGGAGGGTTGTTGGAAGCTGGCAAATGTCCCTCTATACATCTTCCACTGACTTGTCTCATTTCCTTCTCTATGGGAATAGGTCAGGATGCTACTGGATAAATGTGGCACCACTTATGCTGGGCAGGAATCCTTCCTTCAGGTCCTCACTCAGATGCTCTCCAGTCCAGATGAAATATTAGTTTTCAAAAACTCAAACCTTCCAAATTTTCTTCATATTCCTCCCTAATCTTCAGCTTGCTCACTGTTGTGCTCCTGACTGCGTTCACCTGTAGCGGAGGAGGAACGGATTCATTTATAAGTCACGGGGACTTTCTAGCTCACTGTCTGACTAATGCCATTTATGCACTTAAAGAGAGTTTCATTAACTTAAATAATCATCAAAAGGACCGTGCACTGACTGCGTTCCTCACAAATAACATGACAATGTCCACATCCAGATTTAACAAACATATTTGCTTGTTCATCATCTCTCTGCACACACAGTTAACAAATATGGCCTTCGGCAGGATGGGGGGAGGGTGGTGGGGGGGAACAAATAGACTGCAATACCAACAAAACACAGAGACACTGTTTTGGATCACCTGGTTAACAGCAAACAAGATTAATCGCATCTCTGCAGCCCAGACGGTGTAACTCAGTGCCTGCAAAAAAAATTTCATTGTTAAAAATACACTGCTTCTTGCTAAGCTGTTTGCTTTCAGTATTGACAGAAGAGGTAAGGGATATGAGAATGTCCTGTCCTTTGCAAGGCAGGCGGTTTCAGCAGGCTCTGCTCAGCTGCTGCTTCCAGAGGGATGAAGCAAATCTCCCACCAGTAGGGCAGCACCCAGCTCCTGTCATTGACCATCTCACATCTGAAAGCCAAGATTTCCCAACCTCAGTAGGTGGAGGAGGAATCAGAATCTGCTCCTTCAAGCCTGAATTCAAATTGTTAGTCTCTGTGACAGATGTATAAGGCCACATAACAGCAATGCTGCAAGAAGGCATATTGTCCTGGTTTATCCACTTTTTGTTAAATTTCAGCTCTATTTTTAGAAGTTTTATAAACTCCCATGACTGTTTATGTAAAATAAGGTGGCTAACAGCTGAAGATGATGAGTGCTCAGAGAGCTCTGTCTGGTTTATGTGTTCCTCAGACGGAGGATTTTGGTGAGTGAAATGAGATTGATGTGTAACAAGATACATTTTATTTTTTTATTTAGCAAAGACCAAACATTTAATTGCTCCAGTCTTAGTGTTGGGCCACAACAGTGCTAAATTTAGGCCCCGAAATGACTTCTTGTGATTTGCAGGTTTGCAGCTTCACGACTGGAAAATCATGCAGAGCCTGGGTCAGGGAGCAACAAGCTGACCTCAGCAAGCCTCCAGCAATTCATCGAACAACAGCTATAAAGCCAGCAATCACACACACTGCATACTGCTGGAGCTGTAAGAAGGACTGGAAGGTCAGAATGCAAATAACAGAATGAGAGGCAGGCTAATGCTGTGAGTAAACATCTTCTCTTGCACACAGACATATCAGAAAGAGTGGCAGTTGTAATAAATTAATGCCTTATTCCTTCTTTTGAAGGTGACGTTTTGTTAGCTATACTAGCTTTCCTATCCTCCAAGTCTTCTCTATAAAAAGAAGAAACAAGGACTGGCATTTTAGTAAATGCAGACATAGATTTAAATACTATGCAGTGAGAACGACTGCTCTCCAGGGACTTGGAAAAGATCAGCACAGCTATTGCAACACATAACGTAACTAAGATGGAAAAAACCTCATCTTCTACCCTGGATGTTTATTGCATATGTTACAGCTCTCTGTGCATCTCGCTATCGCTGCTGCTAGCAGGAATCGTATAAGCAGAAAAAGAACAGAACATTCTCAAGAAAGCCTCTGCAAAGAGAAGTGCGATCTCCAGGGTGAGAGCTTGTGTCATTAATGCCCGACATCAGATTTCATTTCTTGGCAATAGCTAAATTCTCACTAACTTGAGCAGCAAGTTTGGGCTGCAGGCTCACCCCCCCACTTTCCATTGGCCTCGCTCTTTTACAGCAAGATTACAGTTACAGGAATAGATTAAGTCCTCAGAAGCACATAAAGGAAAAGATTTGGCACTACACCTGTAGCAGCCCTTAGCTTTGCTGTGCAAGCAGACCAAGGCCAATGCACCCCAAGTAGGTGAGGATGAGTTGGGGGCAGCACCACTCACTGAGCGTTGTCTGGAAAGCAGCACCATCAGATTCAATGGGAATGTTCAAAATACCATCAGCAATAGGCAGTGTGAGACACAGCATAGATGCAGGTTCTCCCTCACTTTGCCTGTATATGGCATTGCCCGTGGAACCAAGCTCCTCTGCCATCCCAAAAGCAGACTGTTACAACCTGCCTAGCTCACCTGATGTCAGCAGCACTGACGGTGTTGTTTGATGTCAGATGCTTTCCCCTTGTTTTTTGAAGTCATACACAGAAAACGTCTTCTGTCACATAAATGTTTTAACTACCATCCCAGCAAAGGTCAGGGTCACCACCAGAAAGCACGCAGCACAGCATGATGCAGCAAGAAACTATTTGGGGTAGTTTCTTCACTGGAGAAAAAAAAAAAAAAAAACAACAAAAAAACCCAACATGAATAATAGCCTTGCTTTAGAAGTGTAATAAAAATGTAAACTTAAAATAAATATTATTGCAGACAATAAAATTCAATCTAAGTACTTTTTTTAAACAAGATGTTATAGCAAGTACATTCTATCGGGCCATCTCACCTCACAATTCCATATTCATGGGGTTGAAAAGGATCACAGTGATCATTTTTTCAACCCCCTGCTATGTGCAGGGTGACCAGCCACCAGACCTGCTGCCCAGCTGCCCAAAGTCACATCCAGCCTGGCCTTGAATGCCTCCAGGGATGTATTCAGTGTTTTTCTGATATTTTAGCCCGAAATGCTATTTTTTTTCTCCCCCCATTGTTTAAAGGCATAACAAAAGTCACCTTAGAATCACTAAGGTTGGAAAGACCTCTCCAAGTCCAACTCCAGCCCATGTTCCCTCGGTGCCATAACTCCTCAATTCTGGAAAGGTCCAGGGATGATGACCTCCCCACTTCCCTGGGCAGCCTTTGCCACTGCATCACCACTCTGTTGTAGAATAAACTTCTCCTAATACCTAACCTGGACCTCCCCTGCAGCAACATGAGGCCATTCCTTCTCATCCTCACACACGCTTCTCCTTGGCAAGCTCCCACCTGGGATGCTCCGGCACGCAACAGGCAGCACACGCTTTCAAATATTAAATAGAGCTCATTTTCACCTAAGGCAAGACGCACCTAAGGCACAAGGCTGCGGAGGGGATGTTGCACTGCGCTGCAGGCGGTGCTCACACAAAGAAGCGAGGGTGCCTGTAGGGAGCTCCGCGCCCAAACTGTCGTGACGCGAGCGGCCGGTAGGGGGCAGCACCACAGGGAGCAGCCGAGCTGCGCGGTGCGGCGGGTCGGCAGGGGGAACGGCGGGCGGCAGGAAAACGGCGTGCTCAAATTTATGGTCACTTCGGGTTGTTGTTGGTTTGTTTCTGTTTTTTAAATAAACGGGCCCACCTTTCTCCATTTCTTCTCTGCTCGGAAGCCTGTGGCCTTTACAGACCCAAATCTGCAAAACGGGACGGCGCCTAGGCAGGGGTGTAGGGAACAACCGAAGAGATAGAGGTTTAAACATAGAGCGGGAAAGCAATTTTTAAAAGGGAGAGAAAGAAAATAGTTATTTAAAAATAGAGGAGGGGGAAAAAAAAAGCAGAGAGAGGAAGAAAAGAGTAAAGCGAAAAGGAGCTCTGGGGAAGGAAAGGGGAAGGGAAAAAAAAAAAAAGAATAAATCAATGTGGAAGCGCCTCGCCATGCGGGGCGGGGCCGTGCGAGGGGCGGGGCGCGGGCTCTATATGGGGCGCGCGGCAGCCGGGCGGCAGCGGGGCGATGCAGAGCGCAGTGTTCGTTTCGCTGCCGCAGGACGGCGGGCGGATGGAGCGGGGTAGCCGGCGGCGCGCGGAGCTGGAGGAGGCGGACAAGGGCAGGATGATGAAGCGCACCATGTGAGTGGTACCGAATGGAAGGGTTTCTCTCTTCTGCTCGCAGCCCGAGGGCGGCTCTCGGTAGCGGGGTGAGGTCGGTGGCTGACGGCTTCGTTGTAAATGAGTGTCTTTGTTCTTCCAGCATTAAGGACTGGAAGAAGAAGCTGAGCTACTTCCTGCAGAATTCTTCCCGCTCTAGCAAAATGAAGTCCAGTAAAGCGAGCAAACACCACACCTACTTCAGGTGAGTTGTGGCAGTAGATAACTCAAGTTCTGTACAAAATAAGCAGCAAACCTCAAGCAGTGCTCTCACGTTCTCTGCTCTTTTTCTGCCTCACACAGACCTTCCCCTGAGGAAGCCCGGCTGTGGTCAGAAGCCTTCGATGAACTGCTGGCTAACAAATGTAAGTTGGTCTTCAGGCTGTAGTGGTTAAGAACAAAACAGGGGAGAACCTGGTGTTGTTTAGCAATCGCTTCCCTGCATGTCAGCACTGTACATTTCTCTGTAAAGTAATATTAAAACATTAAAACTCCCCACTATGGAGTATTGCAGCTGTAATCTCTGTAGTTCAACCTTACCTATTCAGCCTGGCTTTGCCAGAAGTGCCAAGCACTGTTCTTCGCTGTGCTCTCTATACAAGACAAATCCATTCTTATAATTCAAGAACAATTCTGCAGTGCAGAAGTCCACTGATTTATTATTATTATTTTTAATGGGGAGGATTTTTGCTGGGAGAAAAGCACTCAACAGCACTGCAGTAAAGACTAAGAGCTGATATTGCCATTTGCTCTTTGAACTACTGAGTCATCCTTCCCATTGCAAAAGTGTTCCAGGGGTTTGTCGTGCTGTCAGAAGCATTTGCTCCAGCATAAAGGTTAATGAGGACGATCCCATAGAGAGATCTCGTGTAGCATACCTGCAGGTATCATAAGGGTACACAGTGACTAGAAGCAGCTTTCAGTTTTGTGTTTACATAAAATTGGCTGACTTGAAGCCTGCCAAGCTGTTAGGGTGTTAATTTGCATGCAATGTAGATTTCTTACTGCCTTGACGTTTCAGAAAGGACCAGAACTACAGCAAAATATTTTGTTAGGAACAGATATGACAAATTGGTAAATTCAAGATGCCTGGAATACTTAATTGATGTGGTTTTGCTTTTCTTTCCCCCCTCTCCTTTCCCTAGATGGTGTTGCTGCTTTCCGAGCTTTTCTGAAGTCTGAGTTCTGTGAAGAGAACATCGAGTTCTGGCTGGCATGTGAGGACTTCAAGAAAACCAAATCCCCTCAGAAGCTGACACTGAAGGCAAAGAAGATCTACAATGACTTCATTGAAAAGGAGGCTCCCAAGGAGGTAAGGAAAGCACAGAAGCATTGCCTTGTTGTGTGTCTTTAGCCCCACTTCATTTCTCTGGACTTGTAAGACACAGATGCCACAAATGCATTGTGCACAACACTTCCCTGACTGCCTTCTTTCCACCAAGGTGGAAAATGGCACAATCTGTATTTCAGTTTTCATCTTAGCTGGGGGGGGGGGGGGGCCCTGTCAAACACCTGTAACATTTGGGTTTGGCACCAAAATACAGCATACCTGAGTTACTCCAAATTTTCATAGTAAATCATTTAAAAGAAACTACATCAATTTAGCCCTGAAGCAAAAGCACTCCTATCCTCCTCAGAAGTGCTATACTTGTTGGGATTCAGTTCTTGGAAAGTAAGTGTCCTTTCTTTGCATTTCAGATAAACATTGACTTCCAGACCAAGAACATGATAGCACAGAACCTCCAGGAAGCCACACACAGCTGCTTCAGTGCTGCACAGAAAAGAGTTTACAGCCTCATGGAGAACAATTCATACCCACGGTTTCTGGAATCAGAGTTCTATCAGGAGCTGTGCAAGAAGCCTCCCATCACCAGAGCTGCCCAGGGGACATGAGTACAGAGCAAGGAGATGCCTCTTAGCTACCAAGGAACCGAGCTGGCTTGGCAGCATCCTGACCTGAGAGACTGAGATGGGTGCACTCAGTTGGTTTGCCACAGCGTAAGGACTGATATTGACTTGGTGCAAAGCTGGTGGCAAAGGACATTGTTGGAAGGCATTTGTGGCTGGCAGCAGTGCACCAGGCTGGTGATGCTCTTTTTGGAGTGCTGCAGTAAAGGTGCCTCTATGCATCAAACTGAGCTGTCTGTGCTCTGTGACACACTCCTTGTCACAGCCGAGGTGTTATGCACCAGGTCAGCACAGAGCTGCCCTTCTGCAAGCAGAAGCACATGTCTGTGCAGTTGAGCGGTGCTGGGAACTTGAGTCATGTATAGATTCTGGTTTTTTTTTCCTGAACATCAACCAGTACTGCTGTCATCAGTTCCTTGGTGTTTCAACTCCATTTGTTTAAGCTGACACAGGCTGCAAAGAGATGTACTGGGTTTGTGTGTGGTTTGCAGGCACTACTTCCATCCTCACTGCTGTGCAAGGAGGGGACAGCCAGTTCAGCTCCAGAAGGAATGGGCTATGCAGCTGAGCCTGCAGGGCTGGGCATGGCAGCAGGGCTGCATGAGGCTGGGCAGAGGGCAAAACCCAGCCGTAGTGAACAGGATCTATACAGTATTATATTTATCTATGGATTATGATTGTGTTGAATACTGCAATATGTCAATTCTTTTTGAGACAGCAAGCTTCAGTGAAGTCTTACTGTTTTTAATAAACTATTTTGATACAAAGCTGCTTTTGTTGCTTGTTTTGCATGCAACTGGCACTGATCTCAATGAGGTACCATGCAGTAACCACTCTTACAAGTGCCATCTCCACAGGGCTATATTAAGCTATATTAAGCTATTAGTTCTTAATCTACAAGGCAAGTTAGTGCTTCTAACATAATAAAAACCTTCAGAGCTTGAAAGCTAGTTTTCATAGGGAGGTAGACTATCTCTACAATATGCAAGGTGCGTGTATGGCTGGACATTTCAGATCAGCCAGAAAGAGCAGCATTGCTGCTGAAGCTCACAGCCATGAAATACAGGCACCTACGGTGCAGCAGCACATCTGCTCCTGCTCAAGACCTCTGCTTCAAATAGGGCTTCATTTCCAGGCTGCAAACCATGCAAATAGAGTACTTTACTGCCTGCTGAGCAAGCAAATCGTAGCAGGAGTCTGGTCATCCACCTTGCAAGGCTGGTTGATTTTTCTGTTCGTCAGTGTCCAAAACCAGCACCTCCAGCAGTCCCACAGACAGAATCCTGGCTTGCTACTTCCATGATTTCTCTGAACTCAAGGTCTGCTCACATCCTGGCTCCAGCTACGTCTCCCATCCTCCTCATATCACAGCTTCACCTGCTTGGCTCACATATAGCAGTCACTTCTCCAGGGATCCACTTCTCCAAGCATCAAGAAAAGCCTCACTACAGCATTTTACATTTCAGCTGTATATCAAGAGCAGCTATTCTATGCATATGTGTACAAACTGCAGGATTTGCAGCAGTATACACATTCTACTGTCTCTAGACAGAAAGAAGCATAGTCCCAGAAACAGGGCCCTGTGAGATCTGGCTCTCCTACAGTCAAACTTGCTGGTCAGTTTGGTTATACTCACATAGAGCAAGCACAATAAAAAAAAAAGACTCTGCCTGATAATTTGCTGTAACAAAGTTTTTCCCCTTCAAACCAGGACCAAAAAAAAAAAAAAAAATTGGGCTGATAATTGCTTCTGTAATCTAACAAAACAATTTGAAAAGCATAAAAATAGTCAGAACTGTACCTATTAATGACTCAGAACCAGGGCAGGAAAAATTCCATGAAACTTCATGGGCTTCAGTGAAGATGCATTGAGCTGTGCCAATCTGGGACGTGCTAATTAACCACTGCTGGTGTCTGGTTTCAGGGAGAGAAACACGCTTCAGCAGGTGCCAGGACTACTTATAGTGCTGCATGTAGTCCAGAGGGGAAAATTAGGTGGGGCTGTTAGGCAGAGTATCAGTGCCTGCGGGCTGTAGTTGTATATTTGTAATAATTGGGTTGTTTACATGGATCTTAAGAAAGCCTGTGCTGGCAGCTCCTCAGCTCTCACAGTGCATGCCATCAGTACCAACAAGCCAAGCCATGTCCCTGGAGGGGTCTTTCTGCAGCCTAAGTACCCTGACTGATTTAAAAGTGCTGCTTCCTGTCCTCTGACTGCAGTTAAATTTGGTACCCTGCTCTTAGTATCCAGTGGCAACAAGTAACAAACTGCTCCCTCCTTCCCAGCTAGCAGCCTGCTCACCAGCAGTGGCGAAGAGGTCTGGGAATGGCAAGGGGAGGGCTGGGGTCTTGCAGGACCATGTGAAGTTGGCTAGAACATGAGCCTTTTTTTAGCTTCCATCAG